CTGCTACTCTGCTCTACGTATTGTCTGGCCTTTATCAACCCTTGCCTCCATACCAATAGAGTTCTTCCCCTGGCTAGTTCCTTCTCTCTACCCCTGGGCAAGAAGGAAATTTGGACCCCTCTAGGAAGTTTCCCTGGGCAACCTCACCATGTACAAAGGGAAGATGTATTGCCCTGGTTGAGGGGGTAGGGAGAGGTGTAGTCAGTCCTGTCTTCCTCTTTTTTTTTTGAGTTCATTAACACTCATATAGAACAAAATTACAAAGCAAAAAGTTCTATCTACCCACCCATCCTCTCTGGGGTAAGGATTTTCCAAGGGTCTGCTGTGGTTGGTCTTCAGGTCCTTGAGAACCTTCAGGATCTTTGCCTGTTCCTCTTAGTTCATTCTCTGTCTCTCTCTCCCCCCATCTATCTATCTATCTATCTATCTATCTATCTATCTCTGTTTCAGCCATACCAGCCTCCTTGCTGTGTCCCCAGTACATACCAAGCTTGTGGTGGCCTCGGGACCTTTGCACCTGCTCGTCCCTCTGCCTGGAGTGCTCGTCCTCCACATAATTATCTGGTTTAGGCCTCACCCCTTTTTCTGTCCCTTCCCCCAAGAACACAGGTTTCCCAATACCACCCAATATAGATTTGGATGCAAATAACACAAGCAGTGATGGGAGGAAGATAAAGCCAAAAAAAACAGGACAAATGGGGACACCAGGATGTGACTAAAAGAGAAAAATCCCTTTTTAGACAGTCATGGAACCTTAGACCAAAATATGGCTTCAGGAGCCCAAAAGGAGCTGAGTGCTAGCCACTCTGGGACACATTATAACATCACACTAGAAAGATACAGAGTCCAGACCGAGGGAAGAGACAGGCTTCTTTACGTTCCTCTGACAAGAGCTACTCTGAGTCTGAGGTGGCTTATTAGAAAGGGACCAAAGAAGACCTAGAGAAGGTCTGAAGGAGGAGGGAGGACAGCTTCTCAGGTAAAGGCACTTGCCACCGAACGACTCAATTCAGTCACTGGGACACACATGATAGAAAAAAAAAAAAAAACTGACTCCTACAAGTTTTACACATACACACACAAGGGGGGGGGTGGCACTGTGAATAAAGTAAAAATGAAAAATGCTGTAAATGGTCAGGTACATGTGGGAGGAAGATTCCTGTCCATGAATTCCCCAAGCAGGGCATTCGGAGACAGTTTCTTACTTATATTTTAATTAAAGCATTTATTTTTGTAATGCTGGGGATGTTACCCAGGCCTTCACACACGCTGGGCAAGAGTTCTGACTTCACCCAGGTCTCCAGCACCTCTCAGCCTTTCTCTTATTATTTTTCACAATTTTATGTTTTCATGTGGGTGTGTGGAGGTGGTTGCACAAAAGCCATCCTACGTATGTGAAGGTCAGAGGACAACTTGCAAGAGTTGGTTCTCTCCTTCCATCATACAGATTCTGGAGATCAGCCTCAGGTCATCAGGCTTAGTAACAGGGGCCTTTACTCAACGGCTCACCATATTGCTGGCCAGCCTTCCTCTTTACTTAACCCATAGCACCTTTGGCTCATGGCTCCCACCTACTCCCTGCCCTCTCTTCCCGCCAGCTCCCATCTTCTTCCTCCAAAGCTTGCGCTTGGCCACTCCTCCACCAGCTCGCTATCCTATCCGGAGGTATGATAGGAGGCAAATACCAGAAACAGATTAACAGATTGCCGAGCTGAATGTAACCCTGTTCCCCTCACGCAAGCCACACATATCAATCAATGGCTGCCCCAGCCCACCTAGTCCATCCAAGGTCCACTGAATTCTCACCCATCCAAACCTCCATTTGATACAGTCCCATCACTTGAACCGGATTAGTCACCTCTATTCCGGTCTCCTGGCTCCTGCCCTCATAAGCATCACACACACCCAGCAGTCTGTTCTCTGGGGTCAGAATAGTCTCTCAATTCCCCACTGAGGTCTAGTTATCCTGTTATCCTCCAGACCTCAAGGGTTGTTTGTTTGTTTGTTTGTTTGTTTTTAGAAAGAGACAGAGAGAGAGAGAGAGAGAGAGAGAGAGAGAGAGAGAGAGTCCACTGCCCAAAGAGGGCAGAGGAGAGCATCAAATTCCCTGTAGCTAGAGTTATATCAGATGGTTGTAAGCCACCTGATGCGGGTGCTGGGATCTGAACGTAGGTCCTCTGCAAGCAAAAACAAGCGCTCTTACCAATGATCAACCTCTCCATCCCCCAAGGATCTTAAAAGTCCTTTCAAATCTCTGCTAATTAGTCCTCCAAGCACCCAGCAGTGTGCTTAGAGCCTTGTACCTCCTGATCCTTTGGTTTGCAATGCTGCCCCTCTGTCCAGTGAACACAGCTCTCCATTTTTAGCTGAATCACTGTCCCCACTCAGGATGCCTTCTCTGACTCTCCCTGGGTCAAGTCATGCTACTTACTGAACTCGGTTCTGCCCTGAGGCAAGAACTCTGCACTTAAATGGGCTGGTTTCATCAGGCACTGATTACTAGCCAGGCTTTGTCCTCAGCTCTTTAACTATATAGGGTGTTTAAGTGGTATCATTCCCATTTTACAGCTGGGGAAAATGAGGTAAACCTACTAGCCTGAGGGCTGCAGCACTCAAACAGGAGGTAGGTACAAGCCCAGGCAGTAGAATGTGGCAGCCTGGGGCACCCAGATCACAGGGGAGCATCCCCGCTGCAATGATTTCTTGTGTCATCCCAGGAGTGGGAGGAAGAGACCTTTGCTCACTCTCCTTGTCATCTTTCATAAGCCCAGAGGCTCCTTCGCTAACTGTTCACTGTCTCCGAGGCACTATGCCAATGGCCTTGGGTTTGGAGGGGGATGGTGTTCTTCTTATCACAGAGTGGAGCGTGGAGGCCACTCCCAGGACCTCAGGAGTGTAAAGGCACTGAGATTTGTCAAGCACTATCCACAGCTGAGGGCTCATTAATACTCAAAGAAAGATATTGCAGACCCATTTCCTAGATTGGCAAGCAGAAAGTTGGAACCCTTTCCCACAGGCACGGGCTCTCAGTGTATATCTATTGCCCCTTTGCTCCTTGACTCCCGGAAACACTCCCCTTTGGGAGTGAGTGAAGTGAGAAGGGAAGCAAAAAAGATCCCTAATATTCCCTGTGACCTGGCTGGACTCAAGGCAGGCTGAGTGATGCTCTGGGAACTCCACCCAAAGAGCAGCTATGGCTGGGAGGGACCAGCTGTACAGGCTAGTGAGCTTCCAAGGCAACTTCCCAGTCTAGGATTCCTCTTCTCCAGTGCTCCAGCCAGACAATGGGTTCAGCTCACCACAGCAGAGGTCATGCTGGTGCCTAAGAACCTTGGCTGGGCTCAGACTGCAGTCTTGGGGAGCCCTGTGTCTCCATATCCCAGGCAGTTCATGGGTTTTGCAAGCCGGGCTGGGTCCTACAAGCCTCCTCTTACCTCCACACTCTTCTTTCAGGCCCCCGTCCCAGAAATAAAGGGTTCCTCCATGCCCAAGTCTATGGTTTATCTGTCAACCCAATTACCTGACGAACTAAGGTCGGAGGAATGAAAGTTTAAGGCCTGCCAGGCCAACAGAATGAGTTCAAGGCCAGAATGAACAAGTTAGTGAGACTCTTGTCTCAAAGTAAAACATAAGGGCTAGTTAGATGGCAGCTCGGTAGGTGAATTGCTGGCTATGCAAGCAGAAGAACCTGAGTTCAGATTCCCAGCACCCACGGGGGAAAAAAAAGGGCATTGTGATATGTGCCTGAAACTCCGGTAGGAAGCAGGCAGGAGGGAAGAGGCAGGTGGCTTGTTTTGCCAAAACAGCAAGCTCCTGGTTCAGTAAGAGACCCTGTCTCAGAAAACAGGGTGGAGAGCAACTGAGGGATGCATAAGAAGTCAACCTCTGGCCTCCATACACTTGAGCTCATACACACACGTGTACACACACACACACACGTGTACACACACACACACACACACATCTACACTACATGTGAGCACACACACATAAAGGAAGGAAGCAACCAAAGTGTTTCCGTGGTGGAGTGCCCCCCCTTGCATGAGGCCCTAGATTCAACCTAGTTCTAGAGAAAGAATAAATGCCCCTTCCATTCCCTCGGCAGCGCAGCGCTGTCTCCACACAGGCCTTCCCTCGAGGACAACTTCCAAACATGCATGAAACACAGTTCTTCTGGGAGGAAATAAAGAATTTCTAACTTCTCATGCCTTCACACACTTTCCATCAGAGGTCCTACCAGCTGCCTCTGCCCACGTCCTCAACTTCCCCCCTCCCCATATTGGCTGCAGGTTCTACCTCTCAAGACACAATAGGATGGTTGCTGCTTGCTGGCTTAAGCATCCTCCTATCCATAGCTCTGAGAATGAAACTGTGGGTTCCTCATTGTCTTCCAATCCCTTGTCAACCACTCCCTACCTTCTTTCTTCCCTGTATACACTTCTGATACGTCAGCCTCTTTTGTGATCTGCAAACACACCAACCTGGGCCTTTCCCAGGGATGTTGTTGCCCGGGTCCAGAGAGCACTCCACAGCAGGTGCTGCGGTTGGCCCTTTCCCTCACACACCCAGGGGCTCTCTCACGACACTCTAACCCTCTACCTCCAGTATTAGGATGTGTGCTCTCCACGCTCCCGGCACCAGCTGAAACGTTGCAATCCTGTTAAAGACGTTTCTCAGCGGCTGGTCTACGCGGCTCCCAGACAATGCCCTGCTGTGTCTACGGCCATCGCCCGAACCGTGGCACCCAGCAGGAGCTCGGCACCGATTCTCCGGTGACAGACACTCCTGTGACGCAGCGCCCGTTCATACATCCGGATTCCCCGCAACACCGGGCCACGATAGCCCCTCTTCGCTCGCGCGCATTTTCCAGTCACGTCCACCTTCACCTTCGCCCTCGGGGGCCCAAAACTCTCCGGTAAAGGTAGCCCGAGCCCCCGACCTGCTGGGAAACCCTGAGAAGTACCTAGGGGACGGAATGATAGGGAGCTCATTGACCCTACCTTGGGGCCGAGTCCGGCTGGTCTTGGCCTGGGAGGCGAGACTGGAGGTCGCTGCGAGGGTTGCTTCTAGGCCGAAGCCCCCGGAGAGGGGCACTTGCTTACCTGGGGTGCAAGCGGATGTGTGGAGGCCCAGGCAGGGTGGAAATCAGCAAACCCGAAGATGCCGTAGACACGCGGCTGACGGCGCTGGACCGAGGGATTGCGCTCGCCACTGAGCCTCCACCCACAGGGGAGGAAATAGAGCCCAAGGGGGCCTCGGGGAGGAGTTTGGTGGGGACTTGGGCGTGGTCTGGGCGGGGGAGGGGCGTGACTTCAGTGGGCTCTGGCCCAGTGTGCTCGGACCCGGCTTGCACAAACCGCTGGGTCTAAGACCCCTGTGCCCTAAACTGCCCAACCCACGTCCTGGCCTCGCCCCCACACCACCAGGCCCCTCCCTAAAGCCCGCCCCACAATCCTCGGCCGCCTCCAGACCCCGCCCTCAGTCCCTAGCCCCGTACCCTGAGACCCCGCCTCCAGCAGACCCTGTTTTGAGAAGCCAGGCTCCGCCCCAGTCTATGTCCCGCTGCCCAGAGCTTCTAAATCTCGCCCTCAGCCCCCACCCCGGCGCCTCCAGGACCCGCCCCCAATTCCACTTGGCACTCTACCCTGCACAGCCTCGCAGAGCTCCAAACCCGCTTTCAGGCTCTTCCTCTGCTTCCAAGGTCTGGTCCCCCGGCCCAGGCCGGCTTTGTCAGGCCCGCCCCAGCTCCGGCCCTTCTGGGCACCTGGCCTTACTCCAATCAAGCTGTTGGTTTCTGCACTACCTTATCTCTGACCTTTTAACCCAGCACCGCCTGAAGACTACTGCTTCAGCTGGTCAACTTCTGGTTCCCGCTTCCCAGTCCTAGATCTCTATGATGCTCTAGCTTGCAGGTCCGCCTGCGTCCTGTTTTTCAGACGCACTGATAGGTTTGGCGAAAGAGGCCTGAACTTCTTACACAATGGGAGAGCGCTCTCCCACTGAGCTGTATCCCATTACTGCCCCACCCCCACCCCAACACTCACAGACTTTCACACCCTTTATGAACTTCCCATCCATGTGAGCCTCATCTGATGAGAGAACTGATGAGCACAGGACACAGGAAGCAACTCTGGGCTGCTCCCCGCTTCCCCTCTATGTAATTTCTTTTGCTGCAATAAAACACTCTGACAAAATCAATTTAGAAAGGAAGGCTAACAGTTCTGAAATGTGCAGTCTATCCTTGACGGGAAGTCACGGAGGCAGGAGACTTGGGGTATCTGCACTCTATCTGCAGTCAAGAAACAGCGATGAATGCTGGTGCTTAGCTCGCCACCCCCTTTTTATATACTCTAGGACCCCAGCCACGGAGCAGTGCACAGCAGTGGACAGGTCTTCCCACTTCCATCTAATGAAGACGCCCAGGCATATCAACAGGTGTCTCTCCCAAAGCTGATAACTGAGATTGAACATTACAGCCTCCAGCTAAGGGACTGAAGCAGACACCTGTATTGATCTTCTCCAGACTTTGGGCTCATTGTGGCCAGGCTTGTAGATTGGACGCTGGACCCTGGACCCATGAAGCCTGAGCTAAACACAGTCATAGTAATTCAAAAATGATCACTGTCTTCGTTAGGGGTTCTATTATTGCTGCTATGAGACACCAAAGCCAAACGCAAGTTGGGGAGAAAAGGGTTTATTTGACTTATACTTCTACATTGTAGTTCATTATTTAAGGAAGCCAGGACAGGAATTCAAACAGGGCAGGACCCTGCAGGCAGGAGCTGATGTAGAGCCCATGGAAGAATGCTGCTTACTGGCTTGCTCTCCATGACTTGCCCAGTCTACTTTCCTATAGAACCCAGAACAACCAGTTCAGGGATTGTCCCACTCGTAAGGGGCTGGGCCCTTCCCCATTGGTCATTAATTAAGAAAATGCTTTAGAACTGGATCTCATAGAGGCATTTCCTCAACTGAAGCTCCTTTCTCGGATGACCATAGCTTGTGCCAAGTTGGCATAAAACTGGTCAGGACAATTTGACATTGTCATGACCTCTAAAATCTGTGACTATGATACTTCAGTTTCTTTCTTTCTTTATTTATTTATTTATTTGTGGGGTCACAGTCTATATGTGGGGGTCAGAAAGCAGCTTGCAAGAGTCAGTTCTGAGAACTTCCTTCCACGATATGGGTTCCAGGGACTGAAACTCAGATCGTCAGACTTAGCAGCAAGTGCTTTGCTACCTGACCCATCTCATCAGCCCCTAAATATGTTGCTTCCTGTGGTAAGCAAGATTACACATGGCATGAAATAAAGGAACTTGAGAAGGGTGATGACTCAGAACTATCTGGGACCCCGTGTCACCACAGGGTCCTTACAGTATTGCTTGCAGGCATGAACCTGAGTTCCAGAGATGTCTGCCGAATATTGGAACCCAGAGCAGACTCTGAGCCCCCACTGTGCTATCTTCTTGTACATACTTGGACTTGAGTGTAGTGAGTAAGCTGCCCTCCAACACAGTAAGAGTGTGTGCTGTTGCTTTATTTTTCTATTTTTTTTTATCTGTATATGGGTGTGCACATGTTTTTTGCATGTGTGAGCATGTACTGTGTGTGAGTGCCTGTACATGAGTGTGTGTGCATGTGGAAGGCCAAAGTTGATGTCAGGAATATCTTTGCTCATTCTTTCACCTTGATCATTGAGGCAGGGTCTCTCAACAACACCCAGAGTTGGCCAATGTGGCTAGTCTTGCTAGCTAACTTGCTCTGAGGATCCCCTGTCTCCACCTTCCAGAACTGGAGTTGCAGGTGGGCATCATACGCTGGCTCTGGAGAGCCGAACTCAGGTCCCCATACTGTGTACATCAAGTACTATAACCACAGGGCCATCTCCGCAGCCCATATGTTATTTTACTCAACAGGTTTTTGATCACTTTGTTTTCTTCTTCTATTGATAAAGGGGAGCAATATAGTCTAGGCTGTGCTAGGATTACAGGTATGCACTGCTCTACCTGGTATTTTAGTGTGGGTGTGGGTGTGTGTCGGGGGGAGGGGGGTGTTACTAGAGATAGAACCCAGAGCTGCTAGGAATAGAACCTAGAGCCTTGCTCCTTCCTAGTCATTTTCTTTTCTTTCTCTCTTCCTCTCCCCTCCTTCTTCTTCTCAAGACAGACTTTCTCTGTATAGGCCAAGCTGGCCTCAAACTCATGGGTCTTCTGCCTCCACCTTCCAAGTGCTGGAATAATAGGCACTACATATGCCTGACCCCTGGACCTTTTGAAAATGTCATTTTTCAGGCTGTTGTAGTGGCATGTGCTTGTCATAATAGCACTCAGGAAGTAGAATCAGGAAGATCAGGAGTTTAAGATCATCTTCTAGGCACCATCATGAGTTCAAGACCAGACTTAACTACATGAGACCACATCTTAAAAAATAAAAAATAGTTGGGCCAGTGAGATGCATCATTGGATAAAGGTGATTGCTGCCCAGCTAATAAATCGAGTTCAATGCTGGGACCCACATGGTAGGAAAAGAATGAGCTCACACAAGTTGTCCTCTGACCTCCCTCATGAGTGTCGTGGCACATACAAGTAAATATAATAAAGAATAAACTCATCCTCAACTGTCGATTCTACTACTCAGCCACATGCATGTCTGGGAACAACTGAGATTACAAACATATACCATCACTCTGGCAGGTTTGCGAGCATTTGTGCTGGTAACAACTCTGAAAATCCTACAAACTAGAGCCTCCTAGCCCAAGATCTGCTTGCAGGATTAGCCCTTTCCAACAAGTCCTTCCATGCTCCATCCATGCTCCTGCCATGCTCCATCACCCACTCTTCCTGCCTGTCCCTAAAGCCCTGCTCTGTAAGGATGGGAGTAGTGTGCAGGGGTATGGCTAAAGCCCAGTACAGCAGCCAGAAGGACTGAAGGCTGATCACACAGCTTTTCCCACATCTGTTCTCCCTGGCATGACCTTTGCCAAGCAAGATTCCTCTCCTCTACGGGAACTAGCAAGGGGTGGCGGGGGGTGGTTCTCTGACCCTAGAGGGATTTCTGTTAAAGATCAGCTGGTTCCCACAAAAATCTTTATGTTGTGTGATTTTGAATGCTGACACAGCTTCTCTAAACCCATTGATTCCCATCTTTGGAAAGGAAAATAACCATGCTGGTCTTGAAGGAGGGGGCTGCAGATATCTAGAGGGGTGGGACCACGGTTTCTACTTGGCCTGAGTAGGGGTCAGCATAGGAACTCTTTCCTCTGCCTAGAAGGTTCTTCTGCTGCCCCTTTCTTGATCCTTTTACCCACTTTAGTCAATGGCCCTCCCCCAACAGTCTTCTCTTTCCTGGTTCTCTATTCCTACATCCTTGGTCTCCCTAGAGAGTGCCCACTTCCAACCCCATCCATCCCAGTGCCAAAACAGCCTGGACCAGGGCCTTATGCACAGAGAGCTGCTGCAGGCTAGGATAATGGTGGGAAACTCCCTCCTGGTTGTCTGCCTGCTGCCTGATCCTGTGTGCGACTTTGTGTAATTGTGAGGGTGTTTCTGTCCCTGGGGACATTTGTCTTCAAGACTGGGTAGATAACTTTTTGTGTTGGTCTCCTCTGTGGGTTGATCTGCTGTGTCTGAGTGTTTTTGTGTGTGTGTATCTCTGTGCATGTGTGTGTGCGCTCCTGTGTGTCTGCCTGTCCTGTATTTCCGTGTGTTTGAATTGGTATGTGTCCGTGTATTTCCGTGTGTTCGAATTGGTATGTGTGCTTCTCTGTATCTCTATTTCTGTGTGTCTGCTGTATTTCTGTATATTTTTGTTTCTGTTTCTATGTATTTCTGTCTCTGTTTCTGTGTATTTGTGTGCTTCTGTAAGTGTGTATACATTGGTATGTACCTGTGTATGTGTCTGTATATTCTTCTGTGTATGTGTGTTTTCATTGGTGTGTATTTCTATATATCTCTGTATGTATGTGTTTGCTTGTCTGTTCATTTGGGGACCTCTGAGAAAAGACTTTGACTTGGATCTCCCCTCTGTGGAAAGTGGTATGGGATCCTGCCTTGGCACTCACCTTAGAGATCCTGCAGCCTGCTTTCATTTCTTCCTTCTTGTCTCCTCCCTACCCTCTCCTACTGTGCCTCATTCTACTGAGTGCTAGACTTCTCTTCATCTTTCCTGGGAAAACCTGTCCAGTTTTCCCAGAGGCGGCTGGCACATAGCCCCAGAGAGTTGGATAACCAGTTCATAATGGCAAGGCTTCCTGCCGGGCCAGGACCCATGACTGTTTCAATGTCTAAATGAGGTCACAGCCCAAGATAGGAAGGGGCATGGCCAAGTCATGTCCTACAACAAGGGTCCTTAAAAATTCCCATTTTTTTTAAATTTATTTATTTATTAAGGATTTCTGCCTCCTCCCCGCAACCCCTTCCCATTTCCCTCCCCCTCCCCCGATCAAGTCCCCCTCCCTCATCTGCTCGAAGAGCAATCAGGGTTCCCTGACCTGTGGGAAGCCCAAGGACTGCCCACCTCTATCCAGGTCTCATAAGGTGAGCATCCAAACTGCCTAGGCTCCCACAAGTAGAGAAGGGAAGGAG